TTTAGGGTTCAGGGTTTTCAGGTTCAGGGGTGTAGGGTTTAGGGTTTAGGGTTCAGGGGTGTAGGGGTTTAGGGTTTAGGGTTTAGGGTTCAGGGGTGTAGGGTTTAGGGTTCAGGGTTTTCGGGTTCAGGGGTGTAGGGTTTAGGGTTTAGGGTTCAGGGGTGTAGGGTTCAGGGGTGTAGGGTTTAGGGTTTAGGGTTTAGGGTTCAGGGGTGTAGGGTTTAGGGTTCAGGGTTTCCGGGTTCAGGGGTGTAGGGTTTAGGGTTTAGGGTTCAGGGGTGTAGGGTTTAGGGTTTAGGGCTCAGGGGTGTAGGGTTTAGGGTTTAGGGTTCAGGGGCGTAGGCTTTAGGGTTCTTTGCTTTTTGTCTCAAAGGCCCTGGAGGGTTTTCTTGGGCTTACGACTCCCGCATCCTTTCGCACGCGGGGTTAGGATCTGGATATTAATTGTTGGGCCTTGGGTGTTGTTAAGCATTTTAGTTGCTTGTTCTGATTGTACAGGGACTATTCATAGAGTTCTTAGGTTTCAAGGGCCTCCTGGTGTGAGAAAGACACGACGGACTGATATGGGGGCCTTGATCAGGGTACCGGGGTATGTTCTACTACAATTATATGAAGGAACCTGAAAAGAAATACCAAGTCTTGAGGCCCCTATGCTAAAATCTTGTAAGAGGCCCTTTACAGGAACCCCGTTGTGGAAACCCCATTCTAATTACCACTGGAACCTAGGGTTGAGGGTTTAAGGCATGATTAATGGTATAGTCTGGTTATTGTTACTATAAACCACCTGCTACTACTACAATGACTACTACTACCACTACGACGACGACTACTACTACTACTACCACCACCACCACAGACGACTACTACTACCACTACTACTACTACTACTACTACTACTACTACTACTACTACTACCAGTCTTGTTTTGACTATTACGACCTCTGCTATGAAAATTATACCCAACGCCCCTTCAGCTTTGTAGATCCAGGCGCCATCGGCGCGCTGCCGCCCGGGAGGCCGAGCTTGCCGAAGCCCGCGAAGTCCCCGGGAGCGCGGTCCTTCTCCTGCCTGGTTCAGGGTGTAGGGTGTAGGGCTTAGGAGTTTCGGGTTTAGGGCTAAGGAGTTTAGGGTTTAGGGCTTAGGAGTTTAGGTTTTGGGGTTTGGTTAAACTACATACACCCGAAACCCTACACCGCATTTCAAGGGCACAGCTTTGCTTCGGAAGTCCCTCTCCTTGGCGTGGCAGCTCAGGCTTCTAGTTGCAGAATGGGGAGAAGAAAGGAACCCGGTAGATAGGGTTTAGGGTTTAGGGTTTAGGGTTTCCCTAAAGAATGGGATCCTTAATCGTGGTAGTTGTTATTGTCATAACACCAGCAATAACAATACGAGCAACGAGAATAACAACCATTATGATAGCAACAGCAATAGCAATAAAAATAATGAAGCTGATAATTTAAATACAATTTAAAAAAATGTATGAGAGCCCTAAACCCTAACCTAAACCCCAAACCCTAACCCCTAAACCCTAAACCAAGATAATCACGGAGGGAGGCCCCAACAAAAACTCCTCGCCTCATGGCGAAGAGCTCGAGGAAGCCGATGAAACAGGCGATCTGCGCCCAGCCCTGCATTCCGTGGAGTTTAGGGGTTCAGAGGTTCAGAGAATTCGTGGTTTCGGGTGTCGTTTCGGGGGGTTTAGGAGCGGCTTGAGGCTTCCTCAAGTTTAGGGTTCAGGGGTGGTTTGGGGGGTGACGATTTGAAGGCTTCTGAAGCCGTCCCGTGCCAAGCCAGGCTAGAAGCTTCCAGAAGCAGCGCCACAGAAGCACAACACTCTCACACATCCCTTCTTGGTTAGTCTTTACTGAACTTAGACCCCTAGCAAAATTATAATTTTAGCTGCTTCTTAGGGTTTATAGTAGCCAAAGATTAAAAATCATTTCTAAGTACCCCTGAGTAGTGCCAGCTCCAGTGCAAAAAAAGACTGGGAGGAAGGGTGTCCTGATCCCTAGCTCGGACCAGCTCGTCACTAAAGACTAGAAGCTTCCACGGGCTGAACCCCACCACGCCTCTGCGGGCATCTTGTAGAGGGCCTGGACCCCGTTGGGGATGTCCGCGAACTTGAGGTCTGACAAAGCAAAGGCAGGCAAGGAGGCAACAACGTTTGACTTCTTGGGCGGTGGAGCTCGGGACGATCTGCGACCATTTTTACACGCGGCTTTCGCTCAAAGAGGCAAGCGGACTCATGATCTCGTATCCATCCTAGAAACTCGCACTCACAGGCCTGCAGAGGGGCTGCAGTAGCCGGGCAGTCGGAAGTACTCTGGAGCAATATATCCGATGGTGGCAAGCATGGCCACGCGTCCTGAGCTGTCTGAGACTCTGAGACATGCAGGCACAGCCTCTGCGCATGTATGTTTACTAAATTCGTCTATCTACCTATCTATCCATGTATCTATCTCTCTGTGTTGTGTGCATATAGCTTATATATATATATATATATATACATATATGTATATATATATATATATGTATATATATATACACATACACACACACGCTTACATACATGCATAATCATGCATATGTATCGATCGACCGTCCGAGAGTATGCTGTGGCTGGGTTCTATGTAGTTGGAGGCCCGGGCACCGTTCTTGATCTCTGCCATTCGGCGGCGGCGGAAGTCTTCCGCATCGTCGTCCTGCATCGAGCGCGAGCTTGCACGCTTCCTTCGCCTGGCGAAGCGCAGCACAGCTGTCCTTGGCCATGCCCAG